GTGTGTCTATATGGGTGTGTATGTGTGTCTATATAGGTCTGTATGTGTGTCTATATAGGTGTGTATGTGTGTCTATATCGGTGTGTATGTGTGTCTATATAGGTGTGTATGTGTGTCTATATAGGTATGTATGTGTGTCTATATGGGTGTGTATGTGTGTCTATATAGGTGTGTATGTGTGTCTATATGGGTGTGTATGTGTCTCTATATAGGTGTGTATGTGTGTCTATATAGGTGTGTATGTGTGTCTATATCGGTATGTATGTGTGTCTATATAGGTGTGTATGTGTGTCTATATGGGTGTGTATGTGTGTCTATATAGGTGTGTATGTGTGTCTATATCGGTATGTATGTGTGTCTATATGGGTGTGTATGTGTGTCTATATGGGTGTGTATGTGTGTCTATATGGGTGTGTATGTGTGTCTATATAGGTCTGTATGTGTGTCTATATAGGTGTGTATGTGTGTCTATATCGGTGTGTATGTGTGTCTATATAGGTGTGTATGTGTGTCTATATAGGTATGTATGTGTGTCTATATGGGTGTGTATGTGTGTCTATATAGGTGTGTATGTGTCTCTATATAGGTGTGTATGTGTGTCTATATAGGTGTGTATGTGTGTCTATATCGGTATGTATGTGTGTCTATATAGGTGTGTATGTGTGTCTATATGGGTGTGTATGTGTGTCTATATAGGTGTATATGTGTGTCTATATAGGTGCGATGTGTGTCTATATAGGTGTGTATGTGTGTCTATATAGGTGTGTATGTGTGTCTATATAGGTGTGTATGTGTGTCTATATAGGTGTGTATGTGTGTCTATATAGGTGTGTATGTGTGTCTATATAGGTGTGTATGTGTGTCTATATAGGTGTGTATGTGTGTCTATATAGGTGTGTATGTGTGTCTATATTGGTGTCTATATAGGTGTCTATGGGTGTCTATATGGGTGTGTCTATATGAGAGTGTATGTGTGTCTATATGGGTATGTATGTGTGTCTATATGGGTGTGTATGTCTATATGGGTGTGTAAGGGTGTCTATATGGGTGTGAATGTGTGTCTATATGGATGTCTATATAGTTGTGTATGTGTGTCCATATGGGTGTGTCTATATGGGTTTGTATGTGTGTCTATATGGATGTGTATGTGTGTCTATATGGGTGTGGGTGTGTCTATATGGATGTGGGTGTGTCTATATAGGTGTGATGTGTGTCTATATGGGTATGTATGTGTGTCTATATGGGTATGTATGTGTGTCTATATGGGTATGTATGTGTGTCTATATCGGTATGTATGTGTGTCTATATAGGGATGGGGGTGTCTATATGGGTTTGTATGTGTGTCTATATGGATGTGTATGTGTGTCTATATGGGTGTGGGTGTGTCTATATGGGTGTGGGTGTGTCTATATGGATGTGGGTGTGTCTATATAGGTGTGATGTGTGTCTATATGGGTATGTATGTGTGTCTATATGGGTATGTATGTGTGTCTATATGGATGTGTATGTGTGTCTATATGGGTGTGGGTGTGTCTATATGGATGTGGGTGTGTCTATATAGGTGTGATGTGTGTCTATATGGGTATGTATGTGTGTCTATATGGGTATGTATGTGTGTCTAGATGGGTATGTATGTGTGTCTATATGGGTGAGTATGTGTGTCTATATAGGTCTGTATGTGTGTCTATATAGGTGTGTATGTGTGTCTATATAGGTGTGTATGTGTGTCTATATGGGTGTGTATGTGTGTCTATATGGGTGTGTATGTGTGTCTATATAGGTATGTATGTGTGTCTATATGGGTGTGTATGTGTGTCTATATAGGTGTGTATGTGTGTCTATATAGGTGTGTATGTGTGTCTATATAGGTGTATGTGTGTCTATATAGGTGTGTATTTGTGTCTATATGGGTGTGTATGTGTGTCTATATAGGTGTGTATGTGTGTCTATATAGGTGTGTATGTGTCTCTATATAGGTGTGTATGTGTGTCTATATAGGTGTGTATGTGTGTCTATATCGGTATGTATGTGTGTCTATATAGGTGTGTATGTGTGTCTATATGGGTGTGTATGTGTGTCTATATAGGTGTATATGTGTGTCTATATAGGTGCGATGTGTGTCTATATAGGTGTGTATGTGTGTCTATATAGGTGTGTATGTGTGTCTATATAGGTGTGTATGTGTGTCTATATAGGTGTGTATGTGTGTCTATATAGGTGTGTATGTGTGTCTATATAGGTGTGTATGTGTGTCTATATAGGTGTGTATGTGTGTCTATATAGGTGTGTATGTGTGTCTATATCGGTATGTATGTGTGTCTATATAGGTGTGTATGTGTGTTTATATAGGTGTGTATGTGTGTCTTTATAGGTGTGTATGTGTGTCTATATGGGTGTCTATATAGGTGTCTATGGGTGTCTATATGGGTGTGTCTATATGAGAGTGTATGTGTGTCTATATGGGTATGTATGTGTGTCTATATGGGTGTGTATGTCTATATGGGTGTGTAAGGGTGTCTATATGGGTGTGAATGTGTGTCTATATGGGTGTCTATATAGTTGTGTATGTGTGTCCATATGGGTGTGTCTATATGGGTTTGTATGTGTGTCTATATGGATGTGTATGTGTGTCTATATGGGTGTGGGTGTGTCTATATGGATGTGGGTGTGTCTATATAGGTGTGATGTGTGTCTATATGGGTATGTATGTGTGTCTATATGGGTATGTATGTGTGTCTATATGGGTATGTATGTGTGTCTATATCGGTATGTATGTGTGTCTATATAGGGTCGGGGGTGTCTATATGGGTTTGTATGTGTGTCTATATGGATGTGTATATGTGTCTATATGGGTGTGGGTGTGTCTATATGGGTGTGGGTGTGTCTATATGGATGTGGGTGTGTCTATATAGGTGTGATGTGTGTCTATATGGGTATGTATGTGTGTCTATATGGGTATGTATGTGTGTCTATATGGATGTGTATGTGTGTCTATATGGGTGTGGGTGTGTCTATATGGATGTGGGTGTGTCTATATAGGTGTGATGTGTGTCTATATGGGTATGTATGTGTGTCTATATGGGTATGTATGTGTGTCTATATGGGTATGTATGTGTGTCTATATGGGTGAGTATGTGTGTCTATATAGGGGTGAGACGGACAGACAGACACACAGACAGAGAGACAGACAGACAGACAGATATTTGTATGTGTGTCCATATGGGTGTTTGCCAGCAGTAGTAGAGTTGAGGAAATGATCTATAGACACTACACTTGTATAACTGAGTCGTGGTTGCAATGATAAAAGTAATTTACCAGTAGTCGACATCGTCGATGACGTCAGGCAAGATCACACTCACCAATGGTTGACAGTTTGACATTGTCGATGACGTCAGGCAAGATCACACTCACCAGTGGTTGACAGTTTGACATCGTCGATGACGTCAGGCAAGATCACACTCACCAATGGTTGACAGTTGGACATTGTCGATAACGTCAGGCAAGATCACACTCACCAATGGTTGACAGTTTGACATTGTCGATGACGTCAGGCACGAACACACTCACCAATGGTTGAAAGTTTGACGTTGTCGATGACGTCAGGCAACATCACACTCACCAATGGTTGACAGTTTGACACTGTCGATGACGTCAGGCAAAATCACACTCACCAGTGGTTGACAGTTTGACATTGTCGATGACGTCAGGCACGATCACACTCACCAATGGTTGACAGTTTGACATTGTCGATGACGTCAGGCAAGATCACACTCACCAGTGGTTGACAGTTTGACATTGTCGATGACGTCAGGCAAGATCACACTCACCAATGGTTGACAGTTTGACATTGTCGATGACGTCAGGCAAGATCACACTCACCAATGGTTGACAGGTTGACATTATCGATGACGTCAGGCAAGATCACACTCGCCAATGGTTGACAGTTTGACACTGTCGATGACGTCAGGCAAGATCACACTCACCAATGGTTGACAGTTTGACATTGTCGATGACGTCAGTCACGAACACACTAACCAATGGTTGACAGTTTGACGTTGTTGATGACGTCAGGTACGAACACACCAACCAATGGTTGACAGTTTGACATTGTCGATGACGCCGCAGAGAAGAACAGGAAAAAAATGATCTGCTCTGTCTTTGCCAAATATAATATCAGTGTTCGTTGGACATTCCGGATACCTAACAAACTGTGTTTTGAAAAAACAAGTATTACATAACTTGAAGGACTGACTGAAGAGACCAATTAAATCCCACCCGTAATATTAACTGCTCGGTTGCTTTTTGCGCCAATGTGGACAAAGCCAGAAGCACTATCTTCGTTTGTAGACAAACTACATACTTCACGTTAACCATATAATTGGACACTCAGACAAGAAATGATAGTTATGTTCTTTGGGGGGTCGTGGTGGTGGCAGTGTGTGTTTTAAGGTTTGGGTGGGGGGCGGTGATACACCGAGAGTGGAGGTCGGAATTATCTCAAAAGATTACCCCTCTATACATAGCCACTGATTCCTGAGACAGTCATCCAAGTTAAAAATCCCGGCGCTCGTTTTTTCGCTTTTCTTTGCATGCGTATATTTACAGCTCCATGTCAGCAAGCGAGACGGTGGTGCGTGGGGGTATGTTAACGCCGAATGTCTCCCCCCTGCACGACCCCGCCGCTGGGGAACTCACCTGGCAAGCCCCTGGGGCAAGTTAAACTGACGCGCGGCTGCACGGCCGATGCACGTGTGTGCGCCCAGGTAGCAGGGGGTCTATGGAATGAAGGGATGGGATTCACATCGGAAGTATAACGTTAACTGGCCACACATGTTCGGGAGACAGCGCTCGTAGTCGTGAATATTCCACGATTCTGTTAAAACAATCTATCATTTGTGGATTCGATATTTCATAGACGATAATTTGCAGATTCTCTGGAATTTCATCAATCGGAATGTCACAGTGATTTAGGAACCGTTAAACTCTGGTCTGGTTAAAGCAATCAGCGCTTCTTGAAGAACGGCGGGCAGAATAGTTATCAGGATAAATTTTTTTCTTCGAAACGCGGAAGAATGCGTATGCTCCCATGTCAGTCTGACAGTGGCTCTCCATCAACACCACCGACGGAAGATGCAGGTAGACGTTCATCTCCAGTAACCATTGACAACAGGTATGTGTATGTGCAGTTATTTGTTTACCTCACGTGCAGTAAATAAACAACACCTCCAAGCGACGCTAATCCCGACTGTCACACGTAATTCACTGGCGCTGGAAGCGATGATGTATGTGGGGTAACTATCCCAAAGCACCAAGCTTTGCGATACCGACATAAATACATCTCTCTCTCTCTCTCTCTCTCTCTCTCTCTCTCTCTCTCTCTCTCTCTCTCTATATATATATATATATATATATATATATGTATGTATGTATGTGTGTGTGTGTGTATGTATGTATATATATATATATATATATATATATATATATATATATATATATATATATATATATATATATATAACCCGACCGCACCAACTTTGCTGAGGCGTTGGCTTTTTTGTTTTGTTTGTTTGTTGTTAAACGCCGCACTCAGCAATATTCCGGCTATATATGACGGCGGTCTGTAAATAATCGAATCTGGACCAGACAATCCAGTGATTGACATCATGAGCAACGATCCACACAATTGGGATACGATGACATGCAGCGAGCCTGACCACCCGATCCCGTTAGTCGCCTCTTACGACAAGCATTGTCGCCTTTCACGGCAAGCATGGGTTGCAGAAGATATATTCCAACCCGGATCTTTACGGATCCGAGGCGTTGGGTTGTCGTGTGATTGAAGCGTTCTCCGTCACAGTGAATAAGTGAGTGTTACTTTACGCCGCTTTCAGCAACATTCCAGCAATACCACGGCGGGGGACACCAGGAATGAGCTTCACACATTGTACCCATGTGGAAAAACGGAACCCAGGTCTTCGGCGTGACGAGCGAACGCTTTAACCACTTGACTACCCCACCGTCCCAGTTCATGTTAGGATATTTTATAAATATGGCCGCTTCGTTTCCTTGTCCTGAACTATTGGTTTATTCACAGATTACAAGACTGTGTATTGGTCGGTCACAATGGACACTGTGAATGGATTATAGTGCATGAATGGTTATTCCTATGAGACGCGATCACAGAAGTGAGCTTACCCACTTTAGCGTGATTTAGATGAATGCATGTTTGACAAAAAGACACGATATAGCCATCACGAGTCTAACATCATCCAGAGCCTCCGTGTTTATTTATTTATCTTGTAGCATGTATGTATGCATTTTTCCAATATTTTTGTTCTTTTAAGCTACTGATGAACCGATGAAGTACGGAAGCCTTTTAGGGCCATTTGTTTTTTTGTTTTTTTCGAAACTAAGTTGAAATTTCAAGATACTAAGTTGAAATTTCAAGATACAGAAGTTGAAATTTCAAGATATTAAGTTTAAATTTCAAGAAACTAAGTTGAAATTTCAAGATAATAAGTTGAAATTTAAAGATACAGAAGTTGAAATTTAAAGAAACTAAGTTGAAATTTCAAGATAATAAGTTGAAATTTTAACTTAGTATCTTGAAATTTCAAGATAGTATCGAAAAAAATTAAAAAAACAAATGGCCCTAAAAGGCTTCCGTAATGAAGTGTAACCCATTCTGTTAAACATTACTTATTAAATATATCGAAAATGTAACCCTGGAGAAAAAATACGCCTTCAGTCCTTTATAACAACACACATGACTGAAACTTACATTCTCGCGTGAAAATAAATTATTACGTGTAAACGTATGCAATTACATCAAACATGATTCTTAGCATAACATGTGAGATATGTATCGCTTTGACATCTTGTACCTAATGTACATTAAATGATGCTGAGTTCGCACAGCGCCGCCTGGTGTTATCAGCTCCCACTGATAACGTGAACTTTCAAGCGTGGCCTGAATGTGGGGACTTTATGTATGCTCGTTCCGGGCTAGTGAGATACACATTCTCGCCCTTATCATTCTCTATAGAAATACGAATTTAGCATCATATGAATCGGAAAGACATCAGTATTTCTGAAAAAAACCATTGTTTGGGATTTGGGGATATATTCTTCCGTGAAATAGCTGAAATACCATTCCTTTATTTTGGAGTTGTATAGTTATATCAGTGACGAAGAAGTTATACCCAAACATAGTTTGTGTGTTTGTTGTTTTACGCCGCACTCAGCAATATTCCAGCTATATGACGGCTGTCTGTAAATAATCGAGTCTGGACCAGACAACATATTGATTGACATCCAGAGCATCAAATCCACGCAATTGGGATACGAAGACATGCATCAACCAAGTCAGCGAGCCTGACCACCCGATCCCGTTAGTCGCCTCTCACAAGCATAGTCGCCTCTGACGACAAGCATGGTCTGCTGAAGACCTATTCTGAGATGATAATTATAATAAGGTGTATACAACTCAAAAGAAGTGTTCACATGACTACAGTGCTCTTTATCTTCTTTAGAGCGGTGTGCAATCGAAGATCGTTTTCACCTCCCTGGGGAGTAAAAGCTGCTCCTCAGCAACCCATGCTTGCCGTAAAAGGCGACTATGCTTGTCGTAAAAGGCGACTAACGGGATCGGGTGGTCAGGCTCGCTGACTTGGTCGATGCATGTCATCGTATCCCAATTGCGTAAATCGATGCTCATGATGTCAATCACTGGATTGTCTTGTCCTGACTCAAATTTTTTTTATGTATTTGGTATATTGCTGAGTGAAGCGTTAAACAACAACGCCTTGTTTGTGGCTGGGTGTACACGGGGGATTGGCTATTGTACGTGTTGGTTAGAAGTATGTAATTCAATTTGGAAGGTGAATGGACAGTGGTCTATTGTATGCTTTAAATCAGTCACAATCTTTGTGAAAACAAACGTGAGATGGTTTGGACTGAATACACCCCGAGGCATAGGGACGGGTTGACAGCTATTCCGATAGACAAATAGTAGCTAATACTAGCTATACTGACACGTACAGACGGACGAATAAACAGACAAGAAAAGACACATTAACTATAAACTGATGCTTGCAGAGAGACAGACGGATGGATAGACAGAAAAGGTGAGGTGAAATTGGGTTTAACGTCGCGTCCATGCACGTGTGTGTGTTTGCGTACCGCGTGTGGCTGCTTGTACTAGTCCGGACTGATGCCGATTTATAGCACAAGCCCACTGAGAAACCATGCCGCAGTTTAACATGAATACCCCACTCAGACACAGTATACTGACTCCGAGCCGACCAGTTCTTGTTTTATCCCCTAAATGCCGAGCGCCAGGCAGGGTAACAACCATCTTTTAACGTCTTTTGGCATGGCGCGGCCGGGGATTGAACCCCGGACCTTCCGCTCCCCGGGCGGGGGACGCTCTACCACTAGACCACGGAGGCGGTCTACAGACAGAAAAGAGTAGATGAATATTAACCATATGTTGACATGAGAATACGGACAGACAAGTCCAGAACATTACAGAAGGAGAGATGAATCAACCTAGATACTGTATACTAGATACAGTGACGGGTAGAGGATAGATGACAGGTTATTAACACACCCAGTGGCGGGTAGAGGATATACGACAGGTTATTAACACGCATACAGGGGCGGGTAGAGGATAGATGACAGGTTATTAACACAGAGACAGTGGCGGGTAGAGGATAGATGACAGGTTATTAACACACAGACAGTGGCGGGTAGAGGATAGATGACAGGTTATTAACACACAGACAGTGGCGGGTAGAGGATAGATGACAGGTTATTAACACACAGACAGTGGCGGGTAGAGGATAGATGACAGGTTATTAACACACAGACAGTGGCGGGTAGAGGATAGATGACAGGTTATTAACACACAGACAGTGGCGGGTAGAGGATAGATGACAGGTTATTAACACACAGACAGTGGCGGGTAGAGGATAGATGACAGGTTATTAACACGCATACAGGGGCGGGTAGAGGATAGATGACAGGTTATTAACACACAGACAGTGGCGGGTAGAGGATAGATGACAGGTTATTAACACGCATACAGGGGCGGGTAGAGGATAGATGACAGGTTATTAACACACAGACAGTGGCGGGTAGAGGATAGATGACAGGTTATTAACACACAGACAGTGGCGGGTAGAGGACAGATGACAGGTTATTAACACACAGACAGTGGCGGGTAGAGGATAGATGACAGGTTATTAACACACAGACAGTGGCGGGTAGAGGATAGATGACAGGTTATTAACACACAGACAGTGGCGGGTAGAGGATAGATGACAGGTTATTAACACACAGACAGTGGCGGGTAGAGGATAGATGACAGGTTATTAACACACAGACAGTGGCGGGTAGAGGATAGATGACAGGTTATTAACACGCATACAGGGGCGGGTAGAGGATAGATGACAGGTTATTAACACACAGACAGTGGCGGGTAGAGGATAGATGACAGTTTATTAACACGCATACAGGGGCGGGTAGAGGATAGATGACAGGTTATTAACACACAGACAGTGGCGGGTAGAGGATAGATGACAGGTTATTAACACGCATACAGGGGCGGGTAGAGGATAGATGACAGGTTATTAACACACAGACAGTGGCGGGTAGAGGATAGATGACAGGTTATTAACACGCATACAGGGGCGGGTAGAGGATAGATGACAGGTTATTAACACACAGACAGTGGCGGGTAGAGGATAGATGACAGGTTATTAACACACAGACAGTGGCGGGTAGAGGATAGATGACAGGTTATTAACACGCATACAGGGGCGGGTAGAGGATAGATGACAGGTTATTAACACACAGACAGTGGCGGGTAGAGGATAGATGACAGGTTATTAACACACAGACAGTGGCGGGTAGAGGATAGATGACAGGTTATTAACACGCATACAGTGGCGGGTAGAGGATAGATGACAGGTTATTAACACACAGACAGTGGCGGGTAGAGGATAGATGACAGGTTATTAACACACAGACTGTGGCGGGTAGAGGATAGATGACAGGTTATTAACACGCATACAGGGGCGGGTAGAGGATAGATGACAGGTTATTAACACACAGACAGTGGCGGGTAGAGGACAGATGACAGGTTATTAACACACAGACAGTGGCGGG